TTTTTCCTTAGGGATGAAGGATGTTGATTTGACCTGCTGAGGAGTCCTCAGGACAAACATCTCATGACGCCTCTAGAGTAGAATCCAAGTCAGGGTTCTCAAGGTCCCTCTGTCCCTATCACCTGGAGAGTTATGGCATGTAGGGAAAACTTGGATACTTACTGCAAGCCTCCAGGCATCATCCCATATTTGGGCACCAGGTATGTAACTGGGGCATCAGAACCAGGAGCAAAAGCCAAACACTCATGTGGGTTAAAGTTGTCCTTTATTACTAAGATTCAGAATCCCACAAAGATGAGATCATTCTCAAAGCCTGCCTTACTTTGAGAGACCTTCACAGAGTTCTTAGACCTTCCCCCCAAGTTACTATTTTTAGCTATACATCATCCTGCCCTCTAATCTCTAGCTGAAGGACTGTTTGCTACTTCCCCAAGATGTAAATCTGGTGGTTTTTCTCTTCTCCAGCTCATAGTCATGATAGCCTTTATGATAGGGTGACCAGACGTCCTGATTTTGGCGGGACAGTCCCGCTTTCCAACAATTTGTCCCGCTTCCCGTGGTGTTTTAAAAAAGTCCCGATTTTTGGAAAGAATGCACGAACGGGCTGGAGAACAAGAAGGGAATATACGGTTTTTGGCCGCCATATGGCTATTTCTCCAGAATATGAGTTTTATATTATTTTTGTTAATTTTATAATGTTAAACTGTAATAAATAATTGCTGAGAAGTGATTATCGAGAACTGCTTATCAAAGTTTGCATTGTTGTCAGTCCCTGCCTGCCCCGTCGCCTGCCCCCGCTCTGTCCTCCCACCCCCCGCCATGTTGTCCCGCCTTACAGATGTTAAAATCTGGTCACCCTACTTTATGACCATAAAGGGGAGAGAGGAGAGGAGCGAGGAGGGGAGAACTGGCAGATGTGACTGACCTATAACTAGTTAGATCATTAAGTAACTTTTACAGCTGATGGGGTGTACATGACTACTCATTCTGCCTAGCACAGTCTGAATTGCATTGCAGCCTAGATTCCTAATACAGATCTCTTGCCCATTCTTCTACTTCTGTCTTGCATTAAAACTTTGGATTTTGTAAAACAAACAAACAAAAGCTTTCTTTAAAATCACACTGGCATTTATGAGACTCATCTCTGCTATTCTTTTATGCTTTGAATCTTACCAACTCTCTTAAATAAAAGACAAATAGAAGATTCAAAAATAACTTTTTTTCCACCACAGAAAAAAATATCCTAATAAGAATCTGAATTTGAGGCCCAGAAATTTTGTCTACAGCAGATCTTCAACTCGTATTTCATTATAACATTGATGAGGTAACATTTTCCTTATGTCACATTGATGAGGAGATATTTTTTCATGTTCAGGTACTCCAGTTTCCTCTCACATCCTAAAAATGTACACATTAGGTCCCAGTCTGAGGGTGAGGGTGTGTGGGCGCACCCTGCCATGAGATGTCCTCTTACCCAGGGCTGCTTCCTGCCTTATGCCCTGAGTTGCAAGGACAGGCTTCAGCCACCTGCCATCCTGAACTGGGTAATTATATTGTTTTTATTAATATTTCTTAAATGTATGTTATAGCTCACATTCATTTCAATATTAATATTAGAAGTGTTTTGGTCTTTAAAGTTTGGTGATGTTATCATGACCAGAAATATGCTGTAGGAACTTAACTTCTGTTTATATCAATTAGCCTACGGTAAAACTGGTTTCTTTATATATTATTTTGATTAAAGTTGCCATTTCCCTTTGAGGAAGGAAATAGCAGAAGATGTCAACAAATGAAAGAACATACCATTCTCACGGCTGGGAATAATCAACATCGTTAAAATGTCCATACTACCCAAAGCAATCTATAGATGTAATGCAATCCCCATTAAGGCACTGATGTCATACTTTGAAGAACTTGAAAAAATAGTACTTCGATTTATATGGAGCCAGAAAAAACCCTGAATAGCAAATACAGTTCTTAGACATAAAAAAATCTGGAGGCATCATGTTGCCATATTTCAGGTTATACTATAAGACTATGGTGATCAAAATAGCATGGTACTGGCACAAAAACAGAGATGTAGATCTATGGAATAGGATAGAGAACCTAGAGATGAACACAGCCACATATTGTTATTTGATCTTCAATATGCCTAACAAAAACATGTACTGGGGAAAATAATCCTTATTTAACAAATGGTACTGGGAGAACTAGTTATCCACATGTAGAAGGCTGAAACTAGACCCACATTTCTCACCACTGACAAAAATTGATTCTTGTTGGATAAAAGATTTAAATTTAAGACACAAAACAATAAAAATTCTATAAGAGAGTATGGGGGAAATGCTTGAAGATATTGCCCTGGGAAATACTTTATCAGGAAGATCCCCCCTAGCAATTGCAGCAACACCAAAAATAAATAACTGAGATTTGATCATGGTAAAGAGCTTTTCACAGCTAAGAGTACCACAAAGCATACAGACAACCTTCAGAATGGGAGAAGATTTTTGCATGTTATGAATCTGACAAAGGCCTGATAACTAGAATCTACAGAGAACTCAAACAACAAGAAAAGCGCAAACAATCCTTTCTATAAGTAAGCAAGAGATTTGAACAGAAACTTCTCTGAGGATGACAGACAAATGGCTAAGAAACACATGAAAAAAAGCTCATTGTCTTTAATCATCAGAGAAATGCAAATCAAAACCACTCTAAGATATCACCTAACCCCAGCAAGATTAGCCCACATCACAAAGTCACAAAACATCAAATGCTGGCGTGATGTGGACAGAAGGGAACACTTCTACACTGCTGGTGGGAATGCAAACTAATATAGCTTTTTTGGAGAGAAATATGAAGAATCCTCAAAGATCTTAAAGCAGACCTTCCATTTGATCTTGCAATCCCATTACTAGGTATGTACCCAGAAGAACAAAAATCATTTTACCACAAAGACGTTTGCACTAGAATGTTTACTGTGACTCAATTCATAATTGATAACTTGTGGAAGCAACCAAAGTGCTCATTTAACCATGAATGGATCAACAAACTGTGGTAATGTATACCATGTAATATTATTCAGCCATTATAAAGGATGGAGACATTACATCTTCTACATTGACCTGGATGTAGTTGAAACACATTCTTCTTAGTAAAGTATTGCAAGAATGGAAAAATAAATTTCCAATGTACTCCATACTAATATGAAATCAATATATAAACAATTACATGCTCATAGGAACAATAAAACACAAATATAGTCTAGTTTGGGGGAGGATGATTGGCAGGAGGAGGGAGGGCATGAGGTTGGATCTCACCTAATGTACACATTGTAAAGATGAATAACACACCCCCTGGGTGAGGGGCTCTTTTACAAATGGAACTTTACCCTGGAAGTGAGAACAATATAACCTAAAACTTTGTACCCTCGCATTAATTTGAAATAAAAAATAAATTTAAAAAATTGTGCATTAAAAAAAAGTTGCTGTTTCCAAAGACCTATCCATATTGTTCTTAAGTCACCAAATGCCTGAAGCACGTGCCTTTTGGTGTAGGGCATCTGGAGACACCAACCGCCTCTTCCTGGGTGTGAAAACAATTGCTGTGAAAACAGAAGTAGATGGTCAAAAGAGAGTGTGTGAGCAGGAGTGGATAGGAATTTAGGTGTGACTTGAACATGAAAGATACAGATGGACAGATGTGGGCAGGGAAGGTCTTTGCATATGCATTACTGTTCTGCCTGACTTAAGAGCTGAGGTGAGAAATAGTTGAGTAAGTTTAAAAAACCACTGGTGTTTTAAACAGCAGTGGCTTAAATATAATCTAAGTATTAATAGCAAAAACAAAAACAATAATAACACTGGCAAAATCACTCCATGTGCTGCAAAGGGCAATAGCTAAGAGTCAGGAAACCTCAGCTCCATCCATTTATGCCACAAATCTTTTAAATGATTTCTTGGGTGCTAGAAGATGGCCACTCAAAGGTGAATACTAAACAGTTGCCCAGGAAAGGACCTCAGTCTTGCTCTGAATCGTCGTGTCAATTGGCAAGCGGAAGCTCATTTTGTTTTGAAGTACTCTGAATTAAAAACTCAAATAGATCGAAACACATCAAATATGTAAAACTCTAGTACTTCATTAAAAATAGTAATTTACTACTTTGGGAGGTTATCTAAAAATTGATAAGGTTTGGGGAAAAGAAAGTGTTTACCTTGTCTTTTTCTGCACAATTCGTTATATTAGGGCAATGAGAGTTACTAAAGATAACAATACAAACAAATACATAAATTAGATTAACTATCTAAAAACTTCCGATAAATATATCCACTTTACCTACCTCGGGGGACATTTGATGGAGTGTCAACGGGATTAAACGGGAAGGAAGGTTCAGTGGACCGGGTATAAGGCCACATTCTAGCTACAGAATGCATGACAGCAGGGGCTGCGGGAGCAGGCAAGAGCGGACAGCGCACTGCAGGTGCTTTGGTTCAGGACACTGTCCCAGCTCGTGGTGATACGCAGGCTCAGTCTGAGGTCTGAAAGCCGCACGGTACCCTTTGTAGTCCCGCGGCAGCAACCCCACAGCACTCTAAGCTCAGCTAACTAGGATGGGAAACGTTAGCGACGGCTGGCCACGCCGAGGCTGCTGGGAAATCAGACCCCACCCGCGCGCTCCATCCACCGCTACCGGCCGCGAGAGCCGGGGCGGGGCCACACGCAGCGTGCGTGTCCGACGTGCGGCGCGCCGCTGCCCCCTGCTGGTGGCGTTCGGCCAGACGGCTGAGCCGGGCTTTTCCCCGACGACAACCCGCGCGGCGTTCGTGGTCTCGGGGCGTCTTGGGCCTCGGGGCGTCCTGGCCCGCAACCCTGCAAGGCCCGGCTCCTGCTACGAATTTCATTATTACTATATTTAACTCACATTTCTCCTGGCCCTCAAAACGTCCTTTTATTTGGAGGAAACGGGGAGTTAGAGGAGGGTAAAAACTGAATGCGAGGCAAAGATGGAGGAAGGCGGCCAGGCCCCGGACTGGGACAGTGATGAAACCGTGATAGAGGGGTCGGTGACAGACAGCGACCTGGAAGAAGAGGAGCTGCCCTGGAGAAGGTGACCCCTTTAGGGCCAGAGCACCGGTAGCCTCGCGCCAGGCCCACACATCGGCAGCCCGGGCCGCCTCTGAGGCCTTCGGAGTTTTAAGAGGAAATTGTGACCATGAGAACGCAGGCCTGCGGGGCTGCCGGGCCTGAGCCGAGAGCTTGTAGTTCCCGTCTGTGCACCCTACTCCCACCCCAACTAGGGATAAGATGGCGGTTTACTTATTGTGGGTGTTTTATAGCGTTTTTAGAAAGCCTTTCCTCGCTCACTGGGGTTTTAAAACAACGTTTGGCGGGCAAAAAAGCCCAGGGTCTGAACTGCTCAAATGCATTTTGCTGGAAGTAACTCATGTGCATTGTATTGCGGTCTGTTAAAAGCCTTGAGTGTGGTCTCTATAGACAGTAGGGATGAGGCTACTGTGTTTGAGAAACCTTCCAGCTGGGGAGAACACATTAAGCAGATAATTGCGATATAATGTGGGAAATCCAGAGATGGAAGTGTATCCAAGGTGGTTTAAAAGCCAAAAGACTCTTACCACAACCTAGGCGAGCATCAGCGTTTGCAAGGGCACATTCCATAAAGAGCCCTGAATACGGATTAGAATTTAGCCAGATGAAGAGGAGGTATACTAGACCAAGGGAACTGCGTGGGTGAAGGTGTAGAGGTGGGACATATCATTGTGTTATGTGTTGGAATGTGCACACAGTTAACTTATTGAAATCTTATATGTGAGGTGGGGAGTGGTAAAAGATGAGCCTGGAGAGGAAAGTAGGGTGAAGGCACAGTAAAGGACTCATACCTACATCTTGCATATGTGTAGGGTGCTTGTAGGCTTTTAAATGGAAGAACACCATCAGATTTTCATTCACTGGTATGCCCTAGACTAGGAGTTTCAAATTTTAATATACTTCTGAATCCCCCCAGAATCCTACTGAAATGTGACTTCAGTAAAACTCCAGTTCAGGAGTTTGGGGGTGGGGTCTGAGAGTCTGTATTTCTAAGAAACTTCCAGATTAAAGCTGGTACTTTAGAGCAGGGATCCCCTTTGGCAAGCAAGACTGAAGAGGTTAGGTTTGGATCAAAGTGTAACAAACTAAGATGATGAGGGTGCAGTGGGAATGGAGCAAAAGGGGCCAAATTTGAGAAATCTTTAGAAAGTAAATTTGGTAGCACATGGTGGTCACTTAGATACGGAGGGTAAGGGAAGTGCAGCAATTAAGGATGGCATCCAAGTTTCTGGTTCTTTTATGAGATACATACATTAGTATTTGCTCTTGTTGGTATACTGGGAGTATTATGACAAATACATGAAATCTTGTAACAACCATCACAATCAAGATCTGGAACAGTCCATCACCCCAACAAAACTCCCTTGTAGTTAACACCCTTTTCCCACCATTTGAATGTATTCTCTTATGTAACTTTTTTTTTCTGCTTTCAAATTTTTCTTATTTTTGATTTTCAGCAGTTTGATTATGATGTGTCTGGGCATGATTTTTCTTTGTGTTTTTCCTGCTTAGAGTTTATTGAGCATGAAAGTTATGTCTTTCATCAGCTTTAGTAAGTTTTCTATCATGGTTTCTTTGAATATTTTTTTCTGTACTGACATTTTCTCCTTTCCAGACCTTGTGATACTATCTCTGAGTCTCTATTTATTTTTTCTTTATTTTTTTGTCAGTTCTTCAGATTATGTAGTTTCTCTTGCTGTATCTTCAGATTTACTTACTCTTTCCTTTGTCATCTCCATTCTGTTTTTGAGCCTGAATTTTTTTAAAGGTTATGATTTTTTTATTTCAAAGATTATAATTTTTTCTTTTAAAATTTCCATTTGTTTCTTTATAGTTTTATTCTGCTGAGAAAGTCATTTTTTCATCCTTTTGATGTGCATTCACCTTTATTTCATGGAAAATGGTTATAATAACTGCTTTAGAGTCTTTTTATTTTTTGCAGTTTTGGACCAGGCTGGGTTTGAACCCACCATCTCTGGCATATAGGACTAGTGCCTACTCTTTTGAGCCACAGGCACTGCCCTGCTTTAGAGTCTTTTAATTCCAACATTTGAATCATTGGGTGGGAATTCTCTGCATGTTGAGCAATTCTGAATTGTATTCTGGATATTTTGAGTATTATATTATGGAATCCTGCTCCTGTTAAAATCTAGAGTTGTTTTTTTTTTTTGTTTAACAAGCAAAACAGCTTGATTAGGTTCTGACTGCACATACCATTTTGCTTTTGTGTTTGGTAGCTACACCAGCCTTTGCTGTGTTATTTGAGTCTGCTGGATACTTGTACCACTCAGCGATTAATCTGAGACTTGGGTACTTCCTTGGGGCTACTCCACATGTGGGCAGCTCAGCGTTGTGCCTAGGACTTAAATTGTATCATACACAAAAATCGAGTGATTCCCCTTTCCCCATGATGTCAGCCTAGCTCACAGCAACCTCCTGGGCTCAAGCCATCCTCCCATCTCAGCCTCCTAAAGTACTAGGATTGCAGGTGTAAGCCACTGTACTCAGCCTGCTCTAGTACTTTTTTTTTTTCATTTTTTTAAACATTTACATCTTCAATTCATGCAGAATATTTTTTTTGGAGTATAATGTGAAGTATGGATCAACTAAACTCTTCTAGATAAGTTTTTCATTGTTCAATACAATTTTTTGAAAAATTTCATCATTTCCTCATAGTGTGAGGTGCCACCTCTTTAATATACCAGATTCCTATATATATGTGTTCATTCTGTTTATTGATTTGTCACTTTATGTGCTGATATCACATTAAAAGTAATTTATAAGGCCAGGCTGGGTGGCTCATGCTTGTAATCCTAGCATTCTGGGAGGCGGAGGCAGGTGGAACTGTTGAGGTCACGAGTTTGAGACCAGCCTGAGTAAGATTATCTCTAAAAATTAGCTGAGCATTGTGGCAGATGCCTGTAGTCCCAGCTTTAGAATCAGTTGTTCACTTCAACAAAAAGTCTTGATAATTTTATTGGGATAATGTTAAATTTGTAAAGTTACATATGGAATGTCAACATTTTTATATTACAGTGATACCTTGGAATCCGAACTTAATCCATTCCAGAACCCCATTCGAGTTCCAAATCGTTTGAGTTCCAAGACAATTTGTCCCCTTTAAAATAATTGAAACTGGATTAATCCATTCCTGGGTCCCACAAACTCTAATTTTCAAAATGATTTTAATAGAAAATACACTAGATTTTATTTGAATAAAATATTTGAATAAAAATGCAAATAATAAAATTAAAAATATAAAAACTTAAAAATACAAAAAGGGCTGTTTTATCAAAATTTAACCCTTGGTTCAAAATATATCCTTCACTCTTTGCAAACTGCTTAAACTCCACTTCAGACTTTTCTGCTGTTTCTGAATTAGTTCTGGCAGCCTCTCTATGCATAACAAGACTAAGGATCCTAGTCCTTTTCTTAAAGTCTCCAACCAGCCTCTACTGGCTTTCAGCTTCTCCTTTTGAGCACTAGTATCAGGCGTCCCTAAATCATCCTGGAGGACCTTGGCTTTCTCACAAATTATTATTCGCAGAAATCACCAGCCAGCTATTTTTCATTAATCCAAACTAAGAGTTTTTCCATTTCTTCCATACCTTTCGATCTCCTAGAGGTCAGCCGCATCAGCTGCTTTGATAGCTTTTTTATTTTTCAAAATTGTGTGAACAATTAAGTAAGGCATCCTGAATACAGTATCAAGATCAGCCACACGTGTACCACTTTCACGCTTAGCGATAAGATCTTTCTTAACTATAATTGTAGCTCTAAGGGCTTAACTCTTAACTCTTATTTTCCTCACTACACTTTCTAGGACGCATGGCAAGTACACTTAGTTCTTATATAAAAACACCAAACAGAAACAAAAGCATAAAATTAGTGAAAATTGCATGACATGCTTTCACTTCAGCTTCCTATAACAAACTGAATGATGGGAAACTTAACGCACAAAAACACAACTGTGCTGGGTGTATTGCTTTGGATTCCAAAGCAGCATTTGGATTTTGGGCAAATCCAAAATTTTGCTTGAATTTTTTGTTCAGATTCCAAGTTGTTTGAGTTCTGGGGCATTTGGATTCTGGGGGCAATACTGTATTTTTTTTTTTTATTTTCATTTTTAAATTAAGATTGTAATGGGGTCAGAAATTCTACTTCTGCCCTCTTAGGGTCTCATGTGAGCCTAAGAGTTAACTTGACTTGAAATAGGTTAACAGAGATAAGTTTTATGTGATGTGGGAGCCCTCAAAAGGAAATGAAGACCCAAAGAAACAGTAAAACTGTTTTTTTGTGTGTGACTTTGTGTTAGATTGAACAAAGAGAGGCAGTTGTGGAAAAGTAAATATATAGAGAACGTAAAGGAAGATAATTATTTTTACAAGATCTATTTGTACAGAATTCCGTAGGCTGCAGAAGACTCTGTATTCTACTACACACAGGGTCTCTATTATATAGGAATTTTTATCTCTCATTTTCAGGAGGAAAAGGGGAAGATTAGACTATCCTTGCAGCTGTTGTTTTTCAAGTTGTCTTTAGCTCAGAGTAATCCTTATGTCAAAGTGGCATGTTTTGGGGTAGCATAGTTTGCCACACTGTGAGGTGGAATTTACATACAGTAAGATTCACCTTTTTTAGTGCATAGTTCTGTGAATTTTGACAAACACAGTTTTGTGCCACAATCAAGATATAGAATAGTTTCATTACACCAACCTATACATGTACACCATATTCTTCCATATTCTTTTTGTGTGATTTTAAAAATAAAAAATCTCCCCCAAAATTTTAAGAGGTAAAATAACCCTGATTTTAGGAACATTAAGATTAATGGATTGCTTTTCTTCTTGGAAAAATGTACTACAGTAATGGTAATTATTCATATTCTAAAATGAATTTTTAATCCTTGGTGATGGCAAATAGAAATGAACAAAGAAAATGTTTTTTCTTTTATCAGGAGGCTGTACTGCAGTTTTTTTTTCATTGTTAATTTTGTTGGTGTTT